TCCCTCGCTTAGTCATAATTATAACTTTTTTTCAAAGCAAAGGACCAGGTTCTCTCCCTTATAGTTAGTTAGTTTATAGCCATAGTTTTTAGAAAAACAAGTTTTTTTTCTAAGATATTAGTCTAACGCATAAGATTAAAAGTATATAATAATAATATAGTTAGTAATAGCAGTAGGGCTTGTTGACATATTCTTGACAGAAATGTATCAGAATTTAACCTTGTAACTTCGTAACTTTGTAACTTCGTAACTTGTAGTTGACATGAGGCATAGTTTCGAACTCAGGTTTCCATTTATTTAAGGTTACGGTTACGTTTACAGTTACACTGGTTCGTATACATGAACATATATTAAGACAAAAAATTACATCGATGGTACAGTCCATAAATCTATAAACGAAAGAAGAAAAAACGAAATAATACTTACAAAACAATATGCTAAACTCTAGACGGTAAACGATGAAAGAGAACGAATATGCAAAAACAAGAGACTTTAAGACATTTACAATTCTCAAGAGACACAACAAAACGTACTAAAGAAAACATTACATACTTTTAAAAACTATTTTGCATTAACATAATTATGTCTTAGGAAGGAAACACATCTTTCAGCCAAAGTTCAAAACTAATCGTTCTAAAAATAGTTTTATAAATGCTAGTAGAGTACAAACACTAAAACTGTGCAACATAAATACCACTAGATTAAATTAAAAATTAATTATTAAATTACTGCTAAATTATGCTAATTCTATTGTTTTCTATTGTTAAATTAACACTATTTTGTAGTAAATAGTGGAAAGTGTTGCACACATTTAATGTTTGTACTCTAGTTTGACTTTCAATATTTAACAATCCATGTGTATATATATTTTAACATAAAAGATTTTATGATGATTTTAAATTCYTTTTTTGTTTTTGTAAGCTATAACAAAATTCAGACCTATGGTTGCAAGTTTAGTGATATTTAAAAAACGAGTAGGAGTGTTTTATCGTGAGATATAAACACGAGGCCGAAGGCCGAGTGTTTATATCCACGATAAAACACGAACTACGAGTTTTTTAAATGACTTCTAAAACCCAAACCTAATAAACTACAATAAACATGAAATAAATAAAAAAATATCAAAAATGAATAATTGATGAAGATATCTCCATCTGAGCATGAGTAGTAATCAACTTGGTTTCCCTATACCATGCACGGAAYAAGAAGGCGGTTTTCTTAACAAAATTGTTATTACGCAGGAATTAACGTAAGAAGTTTGTTAGGGCAGTTAAAACATGGGATTTAGGGGTCCGAGTACATTTCAGGCAATCTCAAAAAAAATGATAATTCTCAATCTCGCATAATGTGGAAACGGGCAAGATCTCGATTCAGGGATCCGTCACTCTCTCCGATTTTTCCAAAACGGCCTTCTCGATATAATGCCAGTTTACGGCAAATGTGTTTTCGCGGGGACAATATTTTCAAGATCGGCTGTAGACTTACATACACTTTTTATTTNACTACACCAAGTAAGCAATCACGACAACTAATAACTACACCAAGTAAGCAATCACGACAACTAACAACTACACCAAGTACGCAATCACGACAACCAACAACTACACCAAGTAAGCAATCACGACAACTAATAACTTCTGACTTATTAGGTAGCGCCTGAAAGGCGTCATCTAGACTGGGCAGTTGTTGTATCTACAAAACAACCCATTTCTGGACGATTGAGCATATATAACTAATATAACAACGAACTATACATATAATTGAGTCGAATAAGGCTCCAGATCCAAAAGGGCGTCAATTGCGTGTTTTATTTGGATCTGATCTCGACCCGAAAGCGAGAATCCATATACCAGATCAAACACGCACTCGAACATCCAGAAATGTTATCATTTTAGGAAAAATATAAGAATATTATACAGTGATAATGTATATTGAACTTCTAATGAGCATGTGCATTGTGCCACAATTGAAAGAATTTTGATCCCACACGGAAGAACATGTCTGCACGTTTATTCAAATTGATTTAAAACCTAGCAAAGATCTATGATGCGACATTAAAACTGAGACCTTTAGTGGAAGTGCTGGTGCTATTTTCGATAAAGCGATGATGACCTTGAACATCAGTACTTTATATCTCACATAACTGGTTAATAAAACATCAGTACTTTATATCTCATATAACTGATTAATAAAACATCAGTAATTTATATCTCATATAACTGGTTAATAAAACATCAGTTCTATATATCTGATATAGAACTGATTAATAAAACATCAGTTCTATATATCTGATAWAGAACTGATTAATAAAACATCAGTGCTTTATCGGGATATGAAGGCACATCATTGGACTAATAGGTAATGAATTATTAAGAGAGGTAGTCAGCAAAAATCAGACATTTTCGCAAATTCGTGGCAAKGGTCGAAAAACCGAAACTGCTCATATTTTAACCATAGATAGGCCTTATTAATATAARAATGAATGGTGTGTAGTTTGTTTTATGAAATACGACTTAGTTTTTGAGAAAATCGAGAAAGATGGTTGTTGACACAAATATGCAAATTTCAGCTGATAATCTGCTTCGAATTAAAGAACTCACAGTATCTACACTATAATAGCTAGAACTTTKGAAATCTCAGGAAAAGGTTATTATTATCGTAAGACTTAAATTGCAAAGTTTTAGAAAGTTTGATAAAATATTGCGATTTCTGCTGATTTTGTTCTTGAGAGATGTAAAAATGCTCTTTGAAAGTATGCACAAAGAAAACTAAAAATTTCTATGTGCTATATAACTCAGTGCTCACAGAAAAATATGAAATATTATGAAATATGAAATATTACATCAATTTATTGTACTCTTTTAAGATGAGTTCTTGAATGCTAACATCACCAGTAAACTGATTTGTGCAATCATTTTATGTATATGGGTTGTAATTATTACTTACATAAGAATACAAATACAAGTAAATTTTTTTAATTTTTCTGCAACTGAATGTTGTCATATAAAAAATACTTTCCATTTATCTCATTTTTTTAATGCTCACAATAAGTTGTGCATTAGTGTATTCAAGCTTGCTGTAGCTTTGGATACAGTCTGAGATCGAATGGACCTAGAGCATTCTTGGAGGCAAGATCTTTCAGTCCCCAAAGTCATAAATTTTGTTTTGGTAGAATGTAAAGTATGATAATTCTTTTGGTGGAGTTTCCGTGAACACACACCTCATGTTGGTAACTTGTTGCTCAAATTGCGATGTTGCCTGTTGCGCTCTGTTAGTATCCCCATCAACAAATATCACCAGGTCAACAGATTTGTGATGGAACGATGATATGATTGGTTGTAACATATGTACTCATAGTTGAATGCTCATTGGAAGAATGTCTAATGAATAATTCATGAGTTTTAGAATTTGCATTAAAGTATCTATCTAAAAATCCTAAAAACCTACCATCAAATTTAAGAAATATAATATATATGTGACCTTTCTGTGTATTCTTCGTGAGAACTAATTTGAAAATCGAAGTATTTTCGCCTTTGAAGAGTTGGAGTTGAGCATCAAAATATCCAGGCGATCACAGGTAGCTCAAGCTAGGCACTTGTGTACTTTTTAGAAATATTTAAAATATAACAAATATAAACATCTCTACCCGAGTGTGTATTGTGTTTTTCTTTACATTTCTGTGAAGTTTTAGGCCATTTCCTTCAATTTTGAGTGATTTATGTGATTTTGATTATTCTTATGAGGGCTATTGTAGTAAAAGCTATTGCTGAAGAGTCCCAGGTATTCGGAGAGCAAATCCGATACATTTTTTAAAGCTTTTTGCTTTTCTAATGACCGATAAGCCTATACCATATGAAAAACGAGCAGAGGACTGGGAATGAGCACATTAAACGCACCATACATTTAAACATCTGTTTTCACCATATGAAGGAGTATATATCAACTAGTAAATTGGCAGAGTTTTAGTTTCAAATGTTGAATATCAGCAGAGTTACGAGCATTTGAAATGTAACAAAAACGTGAAAACGAGGCTGGTCAGGCCTCCATACTCATTTTCACTCAAACCTTTGCAACTTCAAACACCTGTAATTTCTGGTCCTTAAATGTTAGAGCATTGAAACTTTCAGATCTTATTCATTGTGATGTATTCTTTCAACGGGTAGCAATGATACAATAAAAATCGTACAAACTAAGGAGTTGCGATAGCCACGCCCTTTTTCATATGGTCTATATATTCGTTAAAAAATTGCCGTATTTGTGCTTTTTCAGCCTCTTCATTTATAACATATCAAAAGATCTAATTTAAGCAAATGTAACCCAATGTATGGGAATAMGTTTGATATGTCCAAGTCTGGGATAGGTTATCATTTTTTGCCCATTTGTCTGGGATAGGGTAGTCCTTTTGTCTGGGATAGGGTAGTCCTTAGGGTAGGCCACGTTTTCAGCGCTAAAATAATGTACTTTTGTACCTTTAGTCTGGGGTAGGGTATGTAAAATCACAAAAATTGGTCGATGTATCGACCGAAACATTTGTCATAATATCGTCGATAAAAAACAAGTCCGAGGTAACTATTTACAAGGCTTTAACAAATATCATCATTTATCGGGTGCATTATTTCACTTAGTTTCAGCTCTCTTCTTGCCAAATAATATCGAGTATCAATCGAACTCTTTTAATTTATGCCTATCTAGGATTATTCAAATATCAAACAGATTTCCGTGTTTGATACTTTGATCAAAACACACGGGATGTAGGAAGAACACAAGAGAAGAAGGAAACCAACACGGTCTTCAAGATATTTTAGTACTGCAATGTTTTGTGTCTGTGATTATAGAATTTGTTTTCGACTGATGACGTCATGTGAAAGTCGAGAATAAACCCTTTTAGCGATCTCTTTTACGCTGTGTTAGCCTCAAAACCATGTAATAAATTCTTTTATTCACAACAGCCCGTGCAAATGCAAGAGATCTGTGAGTATAGAAGACAATGGAAATAGTTTGAAATCTCACGAGTTTTATCTACATTTCTGAATATTTTAGCACACAATTGAGGCTAACACAGCGTAAAAGAGATCGCGAAACTCGACTATTCACTATTTAAAAAAATCTTAAATATTCTTGCATTTATCCGTCTACACCAATCCAATCATGACGAAATATCTGAAAAAAGACACATATACACAAACAAGTAAATAAAACTATTAGTTTGAAAGGCCTTGGACCATCAATACGAAGCAGTCAGCTGAGTGCTTACAGCGAAATAAAAAAATAATAATTTTTATACCTGTCTATTTGGTCATCCAGCCATTGTTTGTGTAGTAGGCCACTCAGCCAGGAGTCTGGCAACTTCTCAACGCCAAGTTTACATCCCAGTAATGCACCAGCCACWGCASCGTTAGTATCAGCATCACCAGCCTGAATAGAAGATAAAAACAGCTCAATACACACATCCCCTAAAATGACAAAGAAGTCGTACGCGCACTAACTCGAAACGTCAATCGCAAATCGTAATTTAATAATTACAAATTTAATGCCCTCATTTCTGACCCGCTCCGCGACTCGCAAGTCATCAAACGAGTAGAAAGGATGCCATGACTGGACTACTTCTGTCTCAGCCTTGATGTTAATACTATCGATCTCTTTAATTTTTTTTAAAGTTTAAATTGAACAATTTCCCATTCCGAAATTCAAAAAGGGACAGGTGACTAGTAACAAACTCGATACCATTTGAAGCAATCAAAAAACAGATACCAAGACAAGAAAGAGCATACTGAGTTTGAGCGTATCCGAATTAATAACTAGACGCTCTTGGAGCGTGAAGTCGGACTAGCTGTTGAAAGACAGTGATTTAATATATATTTACTCGTCAGAAGTAAATATTCCAAGTCAGAAGTTTGCCTTCGGGTCTCCCGATCGCATTCGAACTCTATACGAAATATCACATTACGAACTCGGCTTTAAACAATCGTATCATAGAACAGTGAACTGCTCGGGAGGTTACTGTAGCTTTTATATAATTCTTTGATATTCGAGGTCTTTTGTTATTCCAAAACATTCATCTGTGTAAGAGCATATATTATGACATTCGTTTAGGTCATAAAAGTTGGTGTATCGTGCCAAATAGTGCATTTTCCTCGAGATGTAAACCGATACTTCGTAGCTGAGTGAATTCCGCAATGTSGCTATCTGATTCTGAGTTGCATAGCCTAAATTTTCAATTTGATTAGGGATTCTGTCTCKTCTGGATTAAGAAAACGACAATGTTMATATTCACGCAGGAGTATTTCTAGATGAAGGTTGAAGCGATCATGGTTTTATAGAGCGGGATAACCTTCTTGTTGAGATCGTTGCCGGCCACAGCGCCAACATCGCCGACACTTCGCAAACAGTCTGCTTTTCACGATATTGTGGTTTAATACTTAACCTTTAAATTACTTCAATTAGAATAAGTCTATCCATATTTTTACTTGTTTCACATGAAAGACTATCAGAGTGAACGGTTTTAGTCACGCATTTAGTCACTGCATTCCTTGCGTGATTTTACCGTATAGATCTAGTTCCTTCAAAAGCTGCTAAATATTGCATGAAAAGTAATCAACAACGAGAGTTAGTTTCACAAATTTTACTCTTATGTGATCTCAAATTACTTCGTGATTTATTTACATGATTGGGCGTACCCACTGAAGTGAAAAGTTTTAACTGAATATAGCCGGCACTTTTCAACACCTTTAGGGCACGAGTACACCCTGCTGTCAGGGTCTAGTTTTGAATAAGTACGGAGCACTTTTCAACACCTTTAGGGCACGAGTACACCCTGCTGTCAGGGTCTAGTTCTTTTTTTTCCAAAATAGCCGAACTCACGGTCTAATAAGAGCGTCTAGTTCAAAATATGCAAAATTAATTGACCTAAAAGGTCATGTAATTAACACCGTTACAACGTTTTAAAAGAGATCTTGCTTTGACTGATAAAATCAAACTCAGCAGACAACGTGTTGCTAAGTGATATCACGTTGACCTCCCAGGCCAAGAAAAATACCAAAGAAAAAGATGCCTATAAAATCGCCTTTTTGTTATTGATAAACAAAGTTTCTTCTTGTTCTAATTTGAAATTTTTGCCCACACAAGACTGTCTAACGCTAGAAAGTTTCGTAAGCATACTACTCGAAGCTCCATGCGATCTGCACATGCGCGTACTATTGATGACTAGACAGATGCATTCCGATGAGATCACAGATACCAAATTTGTAAACCAATAGTATTTTTATCACATAAAAGCGCAAGTAGCATTTACATTTAGTAACGATATTCGTACATCTATACATTTGAGTAACATTTCGTGTAACAACAGCCAACCCAATAGTTAATTATTAAATTCTTAACTTCCGGTGGTCCAAACGCGACATAATACATAGATAGATAGATAGATTGGCTAAAAGGTAAAACTCAAGTCGACCTAGCCTTTGGCTAGTCCGACTAATYATAGAGTTGCAAGCGTTTAAAACTCGAAGAAAATTACAAAGATTGTGTGGAGCTCTTGAGCAGCGCCCCAAAAAAACACATATTCTCTCTCATTTTTCTCTCTTATTGCCTACTTCATAAGTAATTCAACTAAATAGTCTCAAACTTGTTAAGAACACTAATTGTAGTGTGGTCTTTCATGTAGTGAGATTTAATTTTCGATAGAGGGGGGGGGGGGGGGGGGATTGAATAGGTTTTSGGATCGGCGGATCTGGGCCTAAAATGGCACGCGGATTACGGATTTAAAGAAAAAATAGAGCGGATTGCCGGATTCTTAAAACGTACCGGATCACGGATTTAATGAAAATTTAACAGCGGATTTCGGATTCTTTTTAAAGAAAAAAAAAAATGGTGATAATCGTGACTGCGAATTTAAGAGGCTCTGCGCTGTAAGGAAACGTCTTCGCTGAGCTTATTATGGCAAATATGGCGTCAGCGGGTCTTGAATTAGCAGGAATTTATGATTTTCTTATTATCAATTGCTACCATCATTTGGGATTCGGATTAAAGCAAAATTTTGCGCGGATCGGTGGATTTTAGAAAAAAAATGAGCGATAAGTCGTCTATTTGCATATTGCATGTACTCGTTCCCAGTCTCCTTTTGAATTTCGTAACGGCAACAAAGGATCTTATCTTATGCACGTGCATACCGAGGTATTTTGGAGCAATGTTCGCTATTATTTTGAAAGCGACCGCATATTATGAAAATTGTCTATTGTAAGCACTTTGTCATTTCTTTGTTTGATTTGCCGCTACTGCCCTCCTCATGTAATAATCCTTAGTTTTTGAGTGAAATCATTATGCGATGCTCGGCCTTTGGAAACTATGTAACTGTTTATAACCGTTTCTGATAAAGCTGTCAGGGAGACTAAAACACATGGAACGAATAATCAATTTTACTGTTCCAAGAMATATCTTAAAAGGTAGCCACGCCTTTACATAGCCACGCCAGACATGAAATGAGCCTGCAATGATAGATACCTTTTGTTCACGGCTATGAAAACTATTCACAGGTAAATTTTATTCCAAGTTCAACTGCTGCGGTCTCACTTTGATGCAAAGGCTTGGTTACCTTTCATAATGTTGTTGAGTATTAAATTGCTGAATATTTTTTTTACCTCCATTGTAATTTCTGTAATCGCTCGACGAAAATCCYTCTGTCTGAAGGCCCAGAAACCGGCACCCAAGCACTTGTAAGTGTAACCTATTTTCTCTTCATCACTCAGTTCTAASTCAGCCAGGGTCGATGCAAACATGTGGTATTTTAACTCCTTTTTCTAGAAAAACGTCGACAGTGTTATATTAATTGATTACCCAAAAACCAAAAAAGAGACAACTTTTCTGCATTTCGGTGTATACTCCGTGATTCCTTTGTGATTGAAGTGCTCTCTATTTACCTGTTTGGTAGTTTCCAGTTCCCTGCAAGCATACTCATAGGCCTGGTTACAAATCTCTTTCTCATCGTATAAGTAGTCACTTCCCTTGCAGTGTTTTCCTTGTAACATCAAAGCAATAGCTGTTGTCACGGCAACACATGACGCAATGCATCTTGGGTCTGCATGGGTTACTTTACATATATTTCGGGTATTTTCTATAACAGTTTCCATGTTACTGAARTCTTGTATGCCGAGGATGGAGGTTCTCATGACTCCACCATTGGGTGCTAGGAATCTTCCACTTCTGTCCCAGACCTCGAATGCACTCTGAAATAAGTATATTGTTCAGTATGAGGGTAAAACCATCCAGACACGTATAGCATTCGACCASTATCTGTTCGAACGTTACGTGTTTCAATCCTATAAAGACATATTTGGGAACATCATTAGGACTAAATAGCTAAAATAGCAGCTGACCCATAATACTTGTAATATATGTTGTAACGCATAGTTAAGGGGAAGATACCATGAATTAAACTTCTGCAATCTTCTACTTTTGAGTTATTGTAATTGTTCGTTGTTGTAATTTATAGAAACAAAGGTTGTTAACCCGTACATGCATCGTCCTACTTGTAAATCAGGGAGAGCTGCATCAAAGAGAGCATCATTGTAACCGYATCAACCATTATTCTCGATGTTTTCTTAATACATAGTTTATTACATTAGGCGCGATTGTGACGTTGATTCTGTTTGATGACCACAACACACACACAGAAAAAAATCCGTATATCCTTAATTGCAATTCAGTAACGAGTGAATGAAAGTTACTTTCAAAAGCACTTGTAAAACCCCTGAAGTTGAATTGCCCTTCTCGGTGAAATTCAGTACAATATAATTCATAAATTCTAACACCCTGAAGTGTTTTAGAATTGGTCCGTTACTTGGGAAATATATGCATGTTTTGACTCTTGCACAGAATCGCAAAAGTTAAAAATAGTGAATTAAAAGTGAATGTTTTTCTTGYCACAATGGCATGATAGCTTTACTTTCAACACGYTMGAGTGATCGCACTTAAACCGTGCAACTGCAGGGGCCGCGGAGACGGGGGGGGGGGGGGGGCACTTTTTGCTTCAAAAAAATTAATAATATATGAAATCGATAAGATTGAAATAAAAAATACAAAAAATCGATGATCAGAGCTCGACTATACTGTGACGACATCAAGTTGGAAACGTTAAAGAGTCACTGACTTCGCATTCCTCCGGACCCCCAGTAAAAGTCGCGCCTTCGGCGCCAACCGGCCCCCCACATTTTTGACCGCTCCGCGGTCACTGAACTGTACAAAGTAAATAGTGCTATTTAGTTGTATTTAATAAATCGTGAATGCGGTACGCAAATTAAATTGAATTGATACAAATGGAGCATTCAATACCGTCTTGCTGCAGGTCCACTTTGAGTACAGATAAATTAATACTACTTAGATTTTGTACAGTTGCACGCTTTAAATGCGATCACTCTACCTAAAATATAAAAAAAACTTTTTTTGTGTGTAAGAATCTTTGCCTTTGTACGGTTCCTTCGCGATTAACTACCGTTATGAAATACTCGTCCCCAGTGCACCTCGGTCATCCCTCCTCCTTTCGTTAGGGAGAAGGGAGGATGGACGACCGAGGTGCACTGGGGACGAGTATGGTGTTATGAATAAAATTTTAAGATTCTGACACGGTTTCCGAGCCTTCCCGAGGAGCAACGCTTTGGGCAGGAAGCCCACATAACGGGACAAACTAACGACTGAGACATGAAGCAAGCTTATTAGTTTTTTAAATACTGAATATAAGACCGTAAGATTATATTTCTTTTACATACTTAGTGCAATTATGTTGTTTAAAGGAAGACATTTAACAGTCCATTTTTTGCACAAGAAGATAACACTTGTGATAAAAAAAACAAAAACAAACAGGAAGTTACAGAGCAGAAAAATCAAGAAAGAACAAAATCCTTGATTTTAAAATAGACCGCAATGACGTCACAAGAACACTGATCATACTTTACATTTTATTTCAACTTTATGTCATACAACAATCCTTCAAAATATTACATTAATAAAAAACATTGACAATATTAACGTGTCTCTAAAATCCATGCGTTGCATCTGAATAATTTGTAATTTGTATAATAGCATGTCATGACTCACCACAGGAATTTCTGGTACGTGCGGAATTCACAGAAAGACGGGCAAAAAGTTGTAATTATACTAAATAAACACTTTATGGAACCAGAAGTAGGTCTAAACCACTGTTGAACATTTTAGATCGTCCGTTGTATTATTTGAGAAAAGATTGAGCATCTGATTATTGCTGAACGAAGAAATCTCACGCTACATTTGGCAAAGTATGACATAAGTCAAGATGTTTTAGAAATTAAATGAAAAAGTGAATTATGTTGGAAAATTAATCAATATAAATCATAAAATCAAATCAATTTGCCATCATAAATATCATGGCTAAATCTTGGCTTTTTAGTGCTGAGTTCCATGGATCTCCTTCAGTGAATGTTGGTAAGAACTACAACGTAGACACGTATGTTCCCTCTGTTCCCTCCTTTGTCGCTCCATCACGATCATCATCGTTCGAACAGCAGTTGCAAAGCCCTCGCTTTATTTTTCTGAAGATTGCCACATACGCAGCACGAAAATGACGCATACCCAAGCTGTACACCACGAAATTCATCGATGAATTCGACATRTACAAGGTTCCAATCCACCAAAAATGAATATCCTTATTTGGAGACACTTGRCCGGCTGATGGAAGGTACACGAAGAATGGCGCCCAGCATATGAGAAATAGCAAAATGATTATGGCAATAGTCGCCGAGACTCGTTTTTCTAAAGACATTTCTTGGGTTTCATTTGATGGTAACACTGTAGATGAAGATTTAGCAATCTTGTATAAAATCAGTCCATAAGAACACAGCATGATAATAAAGCAGACAGCAAATAAACCCAATACTGCAATCCTAACAGGAGGGAATGGCACCAGTAGACAAGTDAGGATTGCAGCGATGATCCAACAGACAGCCACCAGCACTTTTACCCCTTTCTTCATAATCGGGTGGTGACGGCGAGGTTTGAGAGCAAAAATAGCTCGATCTAGACTGATGGCTGCTAGGTGTAAYACTGAACTTGAGCCTGAGAAAGGAGCTATGATACTAAAGACAAGAACAAGTTCACTATGACATCGATGTGAAAACGTCAACATTCCCATCCACGCGGCAAACAATGGCTGCGAACCAGCTGTAACCAGTAAATCAGCTACTGCTAAGCTCAAGAGAAGAAAGTTAGACGACTTTTGTCGAAGTTGATGTGTGTACAACACAGCAAATATGATCAGTAGGTTGCCAATGGTGCCAACCAARGCAAGAAGGACATTGATCGCGAAGAATGGTGCACCTGGAACCAACTCCATTGTACACTCGCTGGTGTTTTCATGATTTGAAGCATTCATGATATCGATATTACCAGTTTTYTACTCAGTTGGTTTGATTGTTTACAATCCTTTRCCGGTGTTATGCAAGCTCCGCTCAAATCGGCCTATGCAAATCTGCTCTCTTGTATAACGGTCTACCGATCAAGCATCCGAATCGGATGTTGGACACAATATCGCCTTGTCTTTACGCGAATACAAAAATTCAAAAYATTTCGCTTTTCAAATATGTTATTAAAGTGATGTCATATAAGTTCGAGAAAGATCTTTTTGATGATACCATTAATATTCGCTCACAGAGTGAAAAAAAAAGTTACATGGTTTGTTGTTCTTTTCAATATAATATAAACTGGTGTCGTTGACCCCTCCTGTCATTTCTAGGGTTTCAGGAAACATTTTTATTTAGTGGTCTCAGGATCAAAGGGTTGTTCAAAGCCCGATTAGAGTTAATCCAGGGTTAACTCTATAGGTTTTCTAAAAGTTAACCCAGGATTAGCGCTAATCGGGCTTTGAACAACCCGACCCAGTAAATGAAATCTTGCAAGTTCTTAATCACACAATACACTAAAAGCAAAACTAGAGAATGGCTTTGCGCCATATTTTCGAAGACGAATTATTAAATTTCTGTTCTGGTGTTGATATTTTTATTTAGTTTTACACCTTGCYTAAGCACTGGCAACTTGTCGCACAACAAATCTGAATACAGGCAATTTGAAACGAGGAACACGAAGTCTAAGTTGTAGGCAAAAGTTGTACCGTCCGTCTAAATCGGCCTTTAGGCTCACCTCTGTAGACCCTGTTCGAATCTAGATCGGGACGTCATATGTAATTTGACTTTCTTTCGTTCTCTCCCTTGCTCCTAGGGTTTTGCCGGTTCTTTTCCGTTTTTTTCTCCCTCAGTAAAAACAAACCATTTCTATCTGCTCTGCTCCGCGACCAATCAATGTTGCTATGTCAAAGGAAGCCGCYGGCAGCACGCCTATGTGTAAGTGTGTGTAAAATGTGTCTGTAATATAGCAACTTGAGAGCGCGTCGATCTGCTGCGTCCTTCGCAATTCAACAACCGTGCTGCGATTAGCGCCCACCACCATTTCCTTTTTTCCTTTTCATTTTTACGTTTTTTCTTTGTCTTTTCGTTACATCACACATTATTACACTTTGGTTCACGGTTTTTGAGAATTTTTTGAGTTTTTGAGTGTTTTTGAACCTTTCTCATGTTTTTTTTTCATGAATTATTATGACGTACCTTATGTGGATTTGTAAGGAAATCTGGATGATGAACGACCTTATGTGTCGTTGCTCCTATCCCCATTCCTCCCGCATCACCTAGCTCCTTGTAGCCGGTTCGAACCCAGACCTTGAACTTTTTAACATAGTCGATTTCATCAGCCTGAAATATTTAAATAATGAGTCTGATAATAGAAAGTGAGTAATTTCTATATAGCTGATATACAGTTAATACTGAAAACTTTGAATACAGAAGATATGAATTACAATATCAAAATGCATTGTTGGTTGTCATATACTGTGTATAGCTTGTACCTGATGGTACCTCCCTGAGCMTTACAGTAAATAAAAAAAACCTTTCGAAATCCGATAGTAAGAACGGATTTTGGTCTTGTTGCACGCTAAGCAATACCACAGTACTCGGTACTCAATGGTTTTTGAGTAGGTGTACATGATTCAAATTATCATCTTATTCATTTATTTTCAAACTTCCGGCTTCCTTTTGTCACTTATTTCATTCCAGCATAGTTAACTATGATTCCAGAAGACAAAGAGATCAGAGAGTGAGCCGAGTCTTGTTCATTTTTACAAGCACRCGCATGTCGACATGGCCAAATTTCTCTGTAGCAATGCCAAGTTCAAATATCACTAAGAATGCGTTTGTTTGTATCTTTGGAGAGCAAGGATGGCCGAGCGGTTAAAACGCCGATCTATCACCGCTSTGGTCCTGGTTAGTCGTTTYAAGGTCCGGAACTATATGTGATTTGAGTTTGTAAGCTGGTTCTCTCCCTTGCTCCGAGCGCGGTTTTCTCCAGGTCCACTGGTTYTCCTCCCTCCGTCACAAACTAGCTGTGAGGAGTGTCGTGTAGTAAATAAATAATGAATGTTGAGGTAGTGAGTGTGARTGACTATATAGAGGGCCACAAGTTTACTAGTCTATAGACTGTTACGTGCTACCCTCTCAAAATAAAAGAGTTTATTTATTTATTCAATCTGCATATTTTTATTTGCGGTTACACGAAACGCTCGTCGTTTTCAAAACGTCCCCAAAAAATCAACTTTGGAAAAGCGTTCAAAAGTATCCAGGTACGCTGAGTTTGAACTGAACTCTTTTCACACTCTTCAAAAGTTTTAACTTTAAAAACTTCAAATTACCACTCAATCTATGCTATCTAWGTGAGAATATTTTGATTTGGCGCTAGTATACGATAGACGGGACCGCAGAATCTTGTTAAAGTCGTGGATTATTCCGATCAAAAAATCATTGCGAAAATTGGTGATCTGATTTAAATTGGCGAAAATCGAATATGAAAAGAMCTCGAGACTTGCTTACTTTTTTAATACTAAGCATTTTTAAATCCTTAAAAGGATTCTCATGTTTGCCGTTTTTTTCAGGTTACATGTATGAATCCACGYCCATGAAAGTGACATCATTTGGAGTCCGTTCACAGTACAACATAACCAGYAACAGAAAAAGGATTTTTTTAACGTATGAATCGGGGAAAACATATGAAAATGGAAGCTTTTTCATTTCCTGACAATTCGGTTTCTGCTTATGTCAAAGAATATCAGAGTGTGAATCGGTTATGTCATAGTGTGAACTGACCCCAAACCTAACAACAGTTGACTTACCTTGCCATTACAGTCCAATAGAGTTCTTAGGATTAAAATCATCTGATCAGAATCATCTGTCCAGTCTCCTATCTGCCATCTGAATCGATGTAGATCATCATGCTTCATTCTATACTCAAGTTGAAGATTCTCTATTTTTGTGGGGCTTTTCAATCCAAACCAGCCTTTTTTCTTTGCCATATAAATCTATTGAAATAATGAAATGATGGCAATCATCTGAAAACCATTAATAGTTTTAATTTATATTTCAATAAAAATAATAAAACACTACTATATAAAACTTCAATATTAATATATACTCAATAAAATTTACAAAAACGTTCTAATAAAATGATTGTTCGATTTTTTTTAGTCCACCCAATGTCAAATTGTCAATAGTAAGACTTGGTGATTCAAAATTTGATAGATTTGTCTTTGGATTGACAACTTGTAGCGCCYGGTTTGGGATGTAATGCAGGCTACTTGTTGAGTGAATAAACAAATTACAGCATTTGAATGATTAATCTCCTCTCATTACGAGGTTTGTTCCCAGGTCTCTCCCTTGAAACGAGCCTCGTAACGGCTGCGAGAGGAGACTATTAATTGATTGAGTAATTGAATAAATAAATAGAGTAAATTGATTAATGAATGATTGAATGAGTGGATGGATGGATAAATGGGCTATCTAAATCGTCACTAAAAAGTCGAATGTGAAGTCAATATGACATCATTCAAATCCATTTTTTTTTTCAAATCCATTATTAAAGAAGCCTTAGAAACAATTCATGTCTACCCTACAACATTTATGAACATTTATTAACTTTTGGTGTAAGGGAGTCAGGGGTATTCTAGCTCTGGTCCCTATGTAACAAGTGTACTCGACAGACATTTAAAAACCTGGGTACACACATATTTAGCAAATCAAGTAATCATTTTCATATGTGAAGAAGGCCCATAAAACCCGGGGGGAGGGGGGGGGGGATATTCTGGGGTAAAAGTACCGGGGATGCTCGTCGAAAATTTTCAAAAGGACTCCTAAAAGATCCCGGAAGTCTTGAAAAAAGGGCATGGCTGACTGATTTTGAACCCCTAAGAGATTGCATGTTGTTAAATTAAATCAGTTCCAATGATAAATTGTATAAAATACTTAATGAGAAAACAAAACGCAGAGGAAAATCAATATCGATGCCCTATTTCTCTTCTTTTCCGACACCCTAAGAGATTGCAGAAAATGCAAAATTTCCAGGAACTCCAAATTGGCACCCTAAAAGTTTCCCAATCACAATTTTTTACCCCTAAGAGATCCGACAAACATCCCCGGTACTTTTACCCCGAAGTCCTTCCCCCCACCCGGGCCATAAAATGCAAGTTGCAAATGATTTCCACCATTAGTCATCATTTCTCTTTTGCATATTGGGATAAAATTCACTCAGTAAAAACGAACCATTTCTATCTGCT